TGAGACGGAGTTTCACTCATGTTACCCAGGCTGGAGTACAATGGCGCCATCTCGGCTCACCGCAACCTCTGCTCCTGGGTTCAGGCAATTCTCCTGCCTCAGCCTCCTGAGTAGCTGGGATTACAGGCACGCGCCACCATGCCCAGCTAATTTTTAGTAGAGACGGGGTTTCACCATGTTGACCAGGATGGTCTCGATCTCTTGACCTCGTGATCCACCCGCCTCGGCCTCCCAAAGTGCTGGGATTACAGGCTTGAGCCACCGCGCCCGGCCTGTAATGTCTTTTATAGTAACAATGGTCTGGGACCCAAATATGGTACTCACTTTTCTAAGAGTTTGTCATAATTGTCATTCAGCAATTTTCGTTCTTTTTCCAAATCTTCAACTCTCCCCTGAAACTAAGAGTAATGGTAGAGTCCTTGAGATAACATTTTAAAGGTAAAACTCTCCCTGCACAGGATTTCCCTTTTCCATGGCAGGGAGGGACGTGGGTGAGAGCATCTCTATCCCCATCTCCAGTGTCTACGAGAAGCCATTCAACTAGAAAGACCTGAACCAATTGAAGGTGGGCTAGAAACTTTCATTGGAATTAATGAAGATTTTCCAAAATAAGTCTTCATAGTCTCTGGGTTTCTACTGTTATGGAAGCAGGAAAACATTATGAAAGAACAAGGACTTTGAAAAACAGACCTAACCGGGCGCGGTGGCTCAAGCCTGTAATCCCAGCACTTTGGGAGGCCGAGGCGGGTGGATCACGAGGTCAAGAGATCGAGACCATCCTGGTCAACATGGTGAAACCCCGTCTCCACTAAAAATACAAAAAATTAGCTGGGCATGGTGGCGCGTGCCTGTAATCCCAGCTACTCAGGAGGCTGAGGCAGGAGAATTGCCCGAACCCAGGAGGCGGAGGTTGCGGTGAGCCGAGATCGCGCCATTGCACTCCAGCCTGGGTAACAAGAGCGAAACTCCATTTCAAAAAAAAAAAAAAAAAAAAGAAAAACAGACCTAAGCATAAGTCCCAGCTTTCCCCCTAATGCTATAAATCTTAAGCAAGTGGTTTAACCCCTTGGAGCCTTTCTTTTTTTTTTACCCCCTCATTTAAAAAAAAATGCAATACTCAGATTGGGCACAGTGGCTCATGCATGTAATCCTAGCACTTTGGGAGGCCATGCTAGGTGGATCACTTGAGGTCAGGAGTTTGAGATCAGCCTGGCCAACATGGTGGAAACTTGTCTCTACTAAAAATACAAAATTAGCCGAGCATGGTGGCAGGCACCTGTAATCACAGCTACTTGAGAGGCTGAGGTAGGAGAGTTGCTTGAACTGAGGGAGCAGAGGCTATAGTGAGCCGAGATCATGCCAGTGCACTCCAGCTTGGGCAACAGAGTGAGATTCTGTCTCAAAAAAAGAAAAAAAAAAGCAGCAATACTCATTGTTGCTAAAATACACATTCTAGGCTAGGCACGGTGGCTCATGCCTGTAATCCCAGCACTTTGGGAGGCTGAGGAGGGCAGATCACAAGGTCAGGAGATCAAGACCAGTCTGGCCAATATAGTGAAACCCTGGCTCTACTAAAAAAAAAAAAAAAAAAAAAAAAAATACAATTAGCTGAGTGTGGTGGTATACCCCTGTAATCTCAGCTACTCAGGAGGCTGAGGAAGAAGAATTGCATGAACCTGGGAGGTAGAGGTTGCAGTGAGCCAAGATCGCACCACTGCACTCCAGCCCAGGTGACAGTGCTGTCTCAAAAAACAGAAATACACATTCGAACATACCTGATGTTGGAATGCAGATATCTTTCAACTGTTATTATTTACCTCCTTCAGAGTCATCTGCAAGATAGACACATCTTCTAGTTGGCTCTTCAAGCTCACAGCCTTCTTGCTCTCTTCCTTCAGCTCTGCCCTGAGCTCATTCACTTGGTTGAGGAGGGCCTCATGGGCTGCACTCAGGATTCCCTGATTCTGGGGCAAAAGGAAAGTACCTCTGGGAATGGTCATATTACTCAGCACAAGTGGTCTCCAGACACCAGCAACCCTAGCATTCACTCTCTAGTAGATGTCACAAAGGATTACTTTGATTAATAATGTGTTA